CGATCATAATTCGGGAACAAAGGCACGAGGAAATGAATCCTTTTCAGATTTTTCATGCCTCATTGAGGTCTATTTGTGGCCAAAAGATGGGCTCTAAAATGCTTGAACACCTAAATATGTTCCCTCGTGAGTGTAGATGTCGGTGTGGGTGGGTGGATGTATTGGTGTGAGTGTGAGTGTGAGTGTGAGTTTTCACATTCTCTTCGTTCACACTCACACCCACATCCAACTCACACTCCGAAGCCACACCCATAGCATAGACACTCGGAGTCACAGATATTATACACAGATAGATCTTACCGTACGCTGACATCCTCAATTAGGTACGTTCGTACTCAAGTCCACGTCGCTCCCATCCGTACCTATCAACACATGCTCGCGGCGAGGTTGTGGGTGAGCGTGGACATTGGTCCTAGTGTCGAGTGTGAATGTAAATGTAGGTACAGTTATAAGTATCAGTTTTCTCATAACACCTACGCCCATATCCACATCTACCTTCAACGAATGTCTGAAGCTGTTACACCTCACGAAAGTACTTTGATGGGATGTATACAGCTCTCTTTTTCTTGTCTGACGTATCTGGTTGTAGACCTATCAATATTAATATAAGTCGCAAGTATCCCAGTACGACTTAACACATTCACCCCGATTCAAATTTCATAGAAACTAACATCTTTAAATACGTTTTATTCGAAAACAAAATATACCACAAGATACAGCGTGAAAAGCTCTACAATCTACATCATAAATCTTATTTCAATTGTGTACTTTTTGTTTTCAAAATAAACTAAAATTGTGTGTGACCAATGTTTGAGGTTGCGAAAATTGATTGCACAGAATTTTCCTTTTCTCGAAAACAAAAAATAAACTTTACGATGTAGATTGTAGAGCGTTTCACACTGCATCTTGTGCTATATTTTATTTTTTCTTACGAAATAATATTAGGTGATAAAAAGAGGAAACAAGAAAAATGAAATTTCACATTCGTGCAAAAAAAATGATCGTTTCGCAACTTTGAAAACGAGTTATACAGAGTTTTACTTTCTTTGAAAACAAAAATTACACAATTAAAATAAGCTTTGCAATAGATATTGTAGAGCTTTTCACGCTCAATCTTATGGTATATGTTGCTTTTTTAATAAAACGTATTTAGAGATTAAAATATGAAATGCAAAGTGGGGTCCACCGGTGGACCCCATCGGGTCGAATGTGTTAATACTCTTCTCGTGCACTTAGTTGCATAGTTGAGTGACCTGCAGTTTGTTAAGTTCCTTGCAACACAGTTACGCGGTATCTAGTGCTGTTCGCTGTGACATAGATAAATCGATCGGTACGCTGATGGTTTTTACTTGACCGCACTGTATATCACTATATGAGTTTACAATGTCAGTGTAGGTGTGAGTGTAGTGGAGTTTGGGTATGAAATGTGCGTGTGAGTATTTGTGTTCTATCTCTTTCACCTACACCTACACCTACGCCCACACCCGCACCCACATCCACACTCTAAAATCGACCATGATTGTCATTGTCATATCTGTATTAAATGTCTCTAATATTTTCAATGTCTCGGTACTAAGTATATAGTATTCAGAAGAGATTCTTTTCCTTTTCGGACATTCCTAATAATAAACTCACCTCAGCCAAATAATTTCAATCGATACGTTTGCTACTGGTCGATTTTTTTTTGCGTCACTCACTGTTTGCCTGTCTTCATGTTCAAATGACGCGATTTTTACTTCTACGACATAGCGATGTTTTTTTGTTGCATTCTGTATGCCTTGCCTCCATCTTTTTCGTTTTTTTTTAAATTCTCTTCAAATATGTGTTGTATTGAAAAGAACTCTGCATAGCAACAGTAGAACCTTCGCAGAACAAATGAACGAAGAGTAATAACAAAGGAGCCAAAAACAAACATTTATATTCAAAGAAATGGTGTGGAAGTGTGGGTATGGGTGCGGGATGTGTGTGCGTGTGGGTGTGGGTGGATGTGGGTGGATGTGGATGTGGTTGTTCTTATTTAACACACCCACTCACCCTCACCCCACCCACATCCACAATCTCATCCACACCCCAACCACATTCACACTCACACCCACACCCCATCCACACTCACACCCACACCCACACTCACGCCTACCCCTACTCCCACACCCCACACACCCGCACCCACATTCACACACCCACACCCAAGCTGCGCCCATTGGGAGAAAGCCAGGAGAAAGTCCGGGAACTAATCGGCATAAATATATCGATTAATTCTGTCATACGCATTGAGAGTTTTAGCAGACATAAGTGCAGAATGCAGCGCAAGATCGAAGCCAATAAAATCCAAGTTGAACAACCGTTAACATTGACTGGAAAGAAACAGGACAAAGAAAATAAACAAAAGAATGACAACTTTTTAAAGTTTTTTTTTAAGCAAAAGCAATGATTTCTCAGCAAAAATATCAGTACATGCATGAACATGTGCAAACAGCGCAAATTTTTTACAAGAAAAAACGCTTGACGACTGCAATGAATTTTTTGTTGTTACTCTGTTGAAATTGTATTCGACTAAAACAGTAATATTTGTTGGAAATTTTTGCTTCCAACCCTCCTGTGTTGCTTTGAATTGCAGTGTTGCTTTTGTAACACAATAGCATCTACAAAGGTCATCAATCACAAACATCGTGCGCTGTAATACGAAGGATGGGACAACTACTTCCAAGATGCAGTAGAGTTCTTCCCTATGATTCATGTAGGTATCAATGGAATGCTTTATTTGCACATTCTGTTTGTGAAATCAGTTACTCTCTTGGGATCGAATTCGCACACATTTGGGTCGATAGATAATTTATTCATAGCTATATATTTAGATCTGTGTAATTCTTTACCCAATACAACAGTAGAGAACACTTATATTTTCGAGCTATCACAACGATGATAGTAGCTAGAAATAGTTGGAATATTTTCTTGGTCGTCGGATCAATTTCTTATCATGATTGTATATCTGATACCTCCAGTGCGACCTATTTGATAGCTGTCCCTAGAAAAACAAGACCACCACCACCATCATTTTTCTATATTCGATACAAAAGTTTTTCATAGTGACGTTACTCGGAAGAGTAAGCTGTTCTGAAAAAAATTAAACGCCTTTGGTCTCTTTATGATCTTTTTTTTCCTAGAACTAGATTCAAATTACAGGGAGACCTCAAGACGTCGAACACGGCAATATCATGAAAAGTGTGGGTGTGGAGTTTGGGTGCAAGCTGTCTCTTTACATCCACACTAACACTCCGAAACATAGGCGCATATTTTTTCCGAGCTGAGAATTAAACAGTCAGAAATAAAAAATGATCTTCTTAGTACTGCGCCAATTTCGGTGAGGTGTAGATAAATAGAAGACCTACACCCAGTTTTTGATCCTGTATTCGGTACAACTTTGCTCTCTCCTCACCTAGATGCCACTGGGCCACAACCAACAAACGAATCCAGCGATCACTTATCAAGCATCAGCAGTTCTCTGAAACAAAACCCCAATAATCCACGACCCAATTCTCCCGGTAGTCCTCAACCAGGGGTAGCTCCTGTTCGGAAATCAGAGACCCATTCTGCTACAAAACCAAGGAAACCTGCTTCTTCGCAATCAAGGGCACATTCTGCACCGCAATCAAGGGTACCTCCGCCTCCCAAATTACCTGTACCAGTACAAGCTTATTGCAACAAAACAGTAATTATTGCTCTCCTATTCATCGGTGTGTCACTCCTGATCACAATAGTTGTAGTTTTCATCACCAAGGGTGGCACACCACACATTTCTGACATATTTACGTTTACCAAAACAACAGCAACAACGACCACAACAACCACCATCACAACAACGACCACAACAACCACCACTACAACACCGACCACAACAACCACCACTACAACAATCACCACTACAACAACGACCACAACAACCACCACTACAACAACGACTACTACTACTGCAACTAGCGCTGTAAGAGCCCCTAGCTCCGCAGACGCACACCAAGGTATCTTAACACTTTGTAGCAACAATTGCCAAGGAATTTTGATGTATCCTTACAACTCCCACAATTATCGACCAACATCTATTTCATAAATCACTACAAAGGGCAAAGGGAGAAGGTGTGGGCGTGCTTATATAATGACAAGGCTCGCATGTGCACACACAAACATTCAGCATTTTTGCCATTTTTCAAACGAAATTATTAGTTTCTAGATGTCATTTTCCCAATAGCGTCCCTAGACTGTTGTGAGAGCTGATTACATGGGCCGTATCTTTATGCTCTACGTCTACAGCTGGTAAACAAAGCTGTTAGCGCAATCCCTTGCGGGATTAAAAATGTGAAACACGACGGATCTATTGTTACTAATTAAATGGAAATTCTTTTCTTCCATTTCTTTGCGACACATTTGTAGCTAACCGTTTACCTGATGCTTTACAACTACAGTTTCTCTGTCACGGTCTGTGGTGTGTACCTGGGATTCAATGTTACGGTCTGCGATGCATACCGGAGTTCTCTGTTACGGTCTATGATGGGTGCCCGGGATTCCCTGTCATGGTCTGTGAGGGGTACTGGGGTTCTATGTCAGAGTCTGTGATGGGTACCAAGATTCTCTGTCACGGTCTGCGATGGGTACCAGAGTTCACGGTCACGGTCTGTGGTGGGTACCAGGGATCTCGGTCACGGTCTGTGATGGCTACTGGGGTTCTCTGTCACAGTCTGCGATGGGTACCCCCGATACTCTGCCACGGTCTGTGAGGGGTACTGGGGTTCTCTGTCGCGGTCTGTGATGGGTACCCGGAATTCTCTGTCGGGGTCTTGATGGGTACCCTGGGTTCTCTGTCACGGTCAGCGATGGGTAACAGGAGTCTCTGTCACGGTCTGTGCCGGATACCGGAGTTCTCTGTTACGGTCTATGATGGGTGCCTGGGATTCCCTGTCATGGTCTGCGAGGGGTACTGGAGTTCTATGTCAGGGTCTGTGATGGGTACCAAGATTCTCTGTCACGGTCTGCGATGGGTACCAGAGTTCACGGTCACGGTCTGTGGTGGGTACCAGGGATCTCGGTCACGGTCTGTGATGGCTACTGGAGTTCTCTGTCACAGTCTGCGATGGGTACCCCCGATACTCTGCCACGGTCTGTGAGGGGTACTGGGGTTCTCTGTCGCGGTCTGTGATGGGTACCCGGAATTCTGTGTCGGGGTCTGTGATGGGTACCCTGGGTTCTCTGTCACGGTCAGCGATGGGTAACAGGAGTCTCTGTCACGGTCTGTGATGGGTACCCGGAACTCTCTGTCATGGTCTGGGATGGGTACTGGGGTTCTCTGTCACGGTCTGCGATGGGTACCCGGGATTCACTGTCACGGTCTGTGATTGGGTACCAGGGTTTCCCGTCACAGTCTGTGATGAGTACTGGGATTCTCTGTCCCGGCCTGTGATGGGTACCCAGGATTCTCTGCCACGGTCTGTGATGGGTACTGAGGTTCTCTGTCACAGTCTGCGATGGGTACCGGAGTTCTCTTTCACGGTCTGTGATGGGTACCAGGGTTCTCCGTCACGGTCTGTGATGGGTACTGGGATTCTCTGTCACGGTCAGCGATGGGTATGGATTTTCTCTGTCACGGTCCATGATGAGTACCAGGATGCTCTGTCGGGGTCTGTGATGGGTACCAGGGTTCTCTGTCACGGTCTGTGATGGGTACTGGGGTTCTCTGTCACGGTCAGCGATGGGTATGGATTTTCTCTGTCACGGTGAGTGGGGGGAGGGGCGGGTGTGGGTGCAAATTTCGACCCGTAAACACTTCAACACTCCTTTCAGATCGTGTTTCACAAAAGAACTCGTAGGAAAATAAAAAGCAGCCTCACTTTCTAGCTGATCTCCTGGTCTCATGCGTATGTAACTTGGGATAAAGCGAATTTCCCACACTATCAAAACTAGTGCGTTGAGTTTTCACGCAGATAATGTCCAATTCTTCTGTTCATGTCGCGATAGCTTTGCACTGTTTGTTTGTAGTTTTGAAGGTGGTTATTTTTCTTTCCAGAGAATTTTCTAAAGAACCTTTTCCTGAAAAACTGCCACGAACATTTCGGAACCTTTTATGAGAGTAGAATCAGAAATGATGCATTTGTTGTTGTTCAAAGATTTCTTGTATCTCCAATGCTCGAAACTACTTACTGCTCCAAGATAGTTTCTCTTCTTTTTCAGTTTGCTTTGACGGTAGTTCTCTGGTAATGAAACACGATGGCTCACTTGTAAAAATGTGCGATTTAAAAATAGGTGATCGAATACTCGTTGCTTATGCAACTGGGGATAATGGCTTCCGGTTTCGGTCGAGTCCATTACTTGGTCTGGATGTCTATCAAAAATATAATCATGATTCGCCTGTTCGATACCTAGAAATTCACACTACGACTAGCAACACGACAGGTCCACTCCACATCACTCCAACACATTCGTTACTCGTAACAAAAAAACACGAGTCTCAAGCGAGATATCTCTTTGGGTCAGAAGTCAATATCGGAGACTATTTACATTGGATAACTAAAGATTATCAGTCTATTATTAAGATCAAAGTTACTCATATTAAAAATATTACGCTTTTTGATGCTTATGCTCCGTTAACCATGGAAGGCAATCTGATTGTAAATAATGTGATTGTTTCTTGCTATGGAACATTTACGCATTCGGCGGGTCATTTGGTGAAAATGCCTCGACGGTGGCTACTCTACTACTTCTTTCATGCATCGGGTACTTCGTTAGGAGAATCCTGCATGATTGAGACGTGCAACAACTAGAATGGGGTCACGACGGCAACTTTTCTCACTAGATTCTGATAGAACATTGAATCACTTATGTGGATTTGATCTTCTGTCCCAAGTTCAATTTTTGAAAACGTTGTCTCGCAATTTGATTATAATATAAATATTGAAGAGTTTAATAAAATTAATCTGTGAAGGGGGAACCCCCCCCCTCAGAAAATCGATTTTTTTCAGAAAAATCGATTTTTAGATAAGCACATATACTGAAAGCCCAAAGTGTCCTCTTTCAGATTATGTATGATTTGTTGCATTTTGAAAGGTTTTGAGTGGTGAAAATAGCGGTTTTCAGGGAGCACTGGTAGAAATATAAGGTTTTATCAGAATTTTTTTTAGTTAGGGAGATGTGGCAATGGTCAACAAACTTGTAGATTTTGGTTAAAGAAAAACACATATACGTTCTGCTATATTAATTAATTAGAGGAACGTAGTCATTTCTGCTTAAAATCCTGTATACTTGATGAAATTGCCGTATAGAGGTCGTGACAATCATAGTGAAATTAAAAATTGTTTCATACAAACTCGTTGATTGGTTTTCTCAAAATCACTTTTTTGGAGAGTTCGGAACCGATTTCTCAGACTGTAGAAGAGCTAGTGAGCCACTGTTTTTTTTAAATAAAAGAAGAGACCTATG